TATTAGTAAATTAAAGAGTCAATTTTGTAGATTAAATGAAAAGATTAAATAAAGAGTCAATACTAGTAGATTAAATAAAGATTTCTGTTTGAAGTTCTCTGAAATTGTAAAACGCCTGAAGAAGTCTAAGCATTTGGATAATAACAAAAAAGATGTGAGGACATTAGTTTGACTGTAAATAAAGTCTATAATGATCATTCCTCATCCCAGAAATTCAGATAGCCTTTATGCTGTCTGTCTGCTTATGTTTTATTGTTAGGTGAGATTTTGTAATATTGTGTCAGAATGGCTCTGCAACCTTTAGAGTTGCTGACAAATTTGTAACTGTATCAAATTTTATGGGAAGTTTGCTCAATTTGACAGCAAAATCCTTAAAAAAATATTTTCAGGCATTTGGTGAAAATTCTTTCGACTGAACACTGGTTTTTTTTTTTTTAAGTGTTAAGCCTTCCAAGACTGGCCAGTTGTTGGTGCAATAAAATTGGCAGGGAAAAAACTTCTATGATGATTTTCACTCAATAATCTTTCCCATATGATTTCTGATGCTACCTTCACATAAGTATATAAATAGGTGTAACTCGACTGTGGTTAACAACATCATTTGAGATTGATTTCATTTTGCCATGCATGGCAACTGTTGTGATGACATCAATTTGTTACTCAAATACATTAATAGCAACCAGTATTTTTATTACTTATCGACTGACCATACATACAAGCACTAATACAAATTTGTTATTAAAAAATAATAATTATTTAGAATATCTATTGATTCAATGATTAATTAAATTAGGCTCAATATCTTTCATTACATATAAAGCAGTTTTCTATATACTTACACTATATTCAAACAATTGTCCTCATCTTTCTGTTATTATCAGAATATTTCGGCTGTTGTCACCCTGGCTTTCCTCAGATGAATATTGATCTGGGTAACCTACAGGGCATTCTGAACTGAACCCTTTATTTAATCTACAGGGTTAGACTGTTCTCATTCCACTACCCATGTCTAGTTCTTATTTTTAGTACTACTAAGTTTACCTGTTTACACTGAGCCCAGGTACACACTACCTGACCCAGGTATTGAACTCCCAATCACTGCCACCAAATTTATGAACCAACACTTTAATCTATTAGGCAATATATATTGTTACTGTTGCAGATTTGAATCAACCCACAACAAAGAAAAAGGTGAGAAAGTTTTTTAAATATGAAAGTATAAAATATTTTTATTTTCGTGTTTTTACAACTAAATTTTTCTCAATGTGTTAAAGTTCTTGCTTCACAGTTCCTTGTTTGTTAAGAGGAAAACAGTGTTATTTCGTCATGTGTATGTGTGAAAAAAAAGTGGCAAGGGAGAAAGAGAGGAGGAAAGTGTAAGTGTCATGTAGCTTAGTGAGGAAGATGGTTGAATGAGTAAGGGAATCTCTTTGAATCCTTGCCATGTCATGAACTGTTACTGTTCCTTCCTTACTGATTTGTCTATCTAGAGACTTTACTTAAATACTCTTCAAAGGGATCATGAAGCATTGGCTGACAAATGTTAAATATTTATTTTCAAATGATTATTAACTGGAAGAATTTTTGGATCTGCCAACTCAGAAACCATCTTTGTCATTTCATGATTGACTGTCTTGGTATTTATTTCCGTTGTTGCTCCACAGTTACATATAAAGTATTTTTCTGTTTGTTTTTAACTTTTGAGGCTACTTTAAAAAATAATGAATTTAAACATTATTCTGTTTTCAAATGATAAAAAAATTGGTAGATGCAGACCAATGAAAAGCTGTTATCTTTAAAGAAGGTCCATTTGAAGCAGATGGGGGAAAGGGTTTTAACCCTAGAACATTAACCATGGGTATATAGTACCCAGTTCAAATTTTCCTATTTTTAATTACAATTTTCTGTACCTGATTTTCTTACCTAAATAATATTTTTTCAGTTTCTATTAATGTTAACTCAAATGAAAAATTTTGAAGTGCCTGCATGTAAAATATTTCAAATAAAGATTTATATTTAATATTTTTTTGGATATTTTCAAAATCAGGTATGATATACCCATGGTTAGTAGTGGTGTAACTTTAATTGATGGTTAGTGTTCTACGGTTAAGTGCTTTCTATATACAAGTACTTTGTGCTGTTTTTCCTCCAGGATATCGCCTTGGTGAAATTCATTCTATTTCCTTGCTCTTGTTACTAACATTTGCAAAATATTGTTGCCAATATCATAACAATATCATGATGAACTTTATGCTTTGGTACCTAAACTTTATAAATTTAAGTGTAGTACTAGATTGGCAGCAAGGTCTCATCATTTTACAATTGAATTGGCTGAATTTAACTGTAAGTTCTATGCTAACAGTTTCTTCTCTCCCACTTTTCAGGTGTGGAACTCTCATTTATCTATGAGTCCCACTTTTTTGTTCCTTATCTCATTGAAAACGGACACAGGTGTGTCCGAAAATTTTTACTTTAAAATCTTTCTCTTCGTACTTTAATTTACTGAAAAGGCTAATATATAATAATTATCATTATTATTGGCAATATTCTTATTTTGCTGGCTTTTTATTCCTCAAATTTTATTAACCGACCTATTAGGTCTACACACACACACACACACATATATATATATATATATATATAGGAAAAAGGTTGAAAATGATACTGGAGTCTTTAAGAATATATATTTAGAGTAACTTTGCCAGTTTCACAGTTCTATGAGATGTACGTTCATGTACAATTCTTGTTTATTTTGCCATCATCATTATCATTTTTGTTACTATTATTGTTACTTGATGTCACATTATCCTGCACATTCCGGCATAGTAGGAAACACTAAAACTGTTTATACACTCACACATGCATAAATTTAATCATTGTGCAATGAACATTTTGAGATTGCCACAAATAGAATTCCTGGCACATGAACTACTTAACACTTTGTTGTTGTGAACTATTTAACACATGCTCACTGAAATATGGCACTCCAGTTTTTGACAACAAAATTTTGTGATCATTAAGTTTTGGTGCAAAAGCCACTATCCCCAATCACATGATCATAATCAACCAATCAGATTGTATTTTAAACAGATAACAATCTGAGCCCATTTTTTACATAACAATTAGATCCAGGACATATAATAGCATAGCCATATGTCTCTCCATCTCAATTTAACTTTTGAAAATCATGGAAATGTGAAACTAATAAAGTTGCTCTAATTAAATATCCTTAAAAACTTGCATTTTTCAACTTCAAATATTGCTATATTTTTACTATATATATAAAAAAAACCTACAGTATCTGTCTATATTTCTGAGATGAGGTATTATGTACACTATTTACATTGTTCGGATTATCATCCTCATCTTTGTTGCCATATTTATCACAACGTTTCAGCCGTTGTATGCTCTGGTCTTCTTCAGGTGGTTGGAATGTCGAACTGAACCCTTTATTTTACTCACTGGAGTTGACTGTTCTAATTCCACATGTCATGTCTAATGGATGTCATTTATCAGTTATCTCCTGTTAATTCCCCTCTCCAAGTTCTCCACTGCCTTAACCAGGTATTGAACTCACACTCTTTGGGTCTTGTCACTGGATCTAACTGAAGAAAGCTGGAGTGTACAATAGCCAAAATGTTGTGATAAATATGGCAACAAAGATGAGGATGATAGTCTAAACAATGTAAATCGTGTAAAAAAAACTACTTTCTTATATACATTTGCTAGTGAGCATTTTTTTGTGAAATTCAATTTTTATTGTTGTTTTATACACACATGCGTATACCTATATAACAAGTACATAAATTTGAAAAGTGTTGTAATACAAAGTGCAACACTGAAATCCAGACATATTTGTGAAAATTTTGTTAGCAACAACAAAAAAAAGTACTGAAAAAAAGTATTTTGTGGCAAAGCAGTGTAAGACACACCTGGCCTTTCAGTGGTTTTCTCAATATAAGAAAGACACAAATCCAAATCCACCTTGGGTAATATTGCCTTTGTTCTCTTCAAAGCTATTTCCACTGGGTTTCAAATATTTATCTCGATGTACCTAAATCCTTTAAGAGTTCATGATAACCTGTCTCATAATAATCCCTTTAATCTCATCCATGATCTGAAATCTCCTTTTCAATGGTAATTTTTAGCTTTGAAACAAACCAGAAATCATAGGAAGTAAAACTTGAACTGTAAGGAAGCTGACAGACCTGCAAGTGATGCAAGATTTAAAAATAAATTTTCACAAGATATGAAGAATAAGCAGCCAAGATATTCAGATTGTCTTTAGAATTCTGAGGTCTTCTAATTCTTACAATGTCAATCACTAATTATATTTGGATTGCAGCCCATATATGTTCAACACTTTCAAGTATTTTGTTTGGTGTGGACATTTTCAATAGTTTTCAGGCCAAGTTTGAAGAATTAGCTGTGCATTATTTACATTATTCGGACTATTAACCTCATCTTTGTCACCATATTTATTACAACGTTTCAGCCATTGTACGCTCTGGCCTTCTTCAGGTGGTTGGAATGTTGAACTGAACCCCCTTTATTTTGCTCACTGAGGTAGACTGTCCTAATTCCACGTACCATGTTTAATGGATGTCAGTTATCAGTTATCGCCTGTTAATTTCCCTCTGAAAGTTCTCCACTGCCTTAACCGGGTATTGAACTCACACTCTTTAGGTCCTGTCACTGGATCTAACCAATGCCTTTTTCCACTGTGCCATGTGTACTTGAGGAAACATAATAAATATGGCGACAAAGATAAGGACAATAGTCCAAATAATATAAATAGTGTACATAATACCTCATCTCAGAAATATAGACAATTAGCTGTGCCTTGCTCAGTATATTAAAGGCTTTACATTTTTATATAGTTTGATGTATATTTGCTGAGTAAGTCCATGGGAAAGTGTTTGTTCAAGAATGCGGATTTACAATTCCTTTTCATTGATTGCTAAGTTTCATTAAATCTGTACAACCAGTTCTCAAGTTATTCACTGTGATTGGCTACTTCCAAACAAATGTTGTTTAGAGAGAGATTGAATAAGAGATAGAAATGAACTAAATGAGATGGAGGGAGAGAGACGGATGGAATGAGAGGGAGACAAAATGAATGAGAGATAGACTGAATGAGAGAGAGGAAAAAACTGAGAGGCAGAGAGAGATAAACTGAATGAGAGAGAGAGATAAAAAATGAATGACACAGAGAGAGATAAAAAACTGAATGAGAGAGAGAGAGATAAAAACTGAATGAGAGAGAGAGATAAAAACTGAATGATTAAAACTGAGAGAGATAAAAACTGAAAATGATAAGATGAGAGAGAGATAAAAACTGAATGAGAGAGAGAGAGATAAAAAACTGAATGATAGAGAGAGAGATAAAAAACTGAATGATAGAGAGAGAGATAAAAAACTGAATGATAGAGAGAGAGATAAAAAACTGAATGAGAGAGGAAGAGAGAGATGAAAACTAAATGAGAGAAATAAAAACTGAATTAGAGATTAAAACTGAATAAGAGAGAGATTAAAACTGAATGAGAGAGAGATTAAAACTGAATGAGAGAGAGAGAGATGGACTGGATTGAATGAGAGAGAGAGAGAGAGATGGACTAAATGAGAGAAACTGAGAGAGATAAAAACTGAATGACAGAGACAAATATACTGAATAAGATAGAGATGGACTGAATGATAGAGAAACTGAATGAGAGAGAGAGAGAGAGAGAGAGAGAGATGGACTGAATGATAGAGAAACTGAATGAGAGAGAGAGAGAGAGATGGACTGAATGATAGAGAAACTGAATGAGAGAGAGAGAGAGATGGACTGAATGATAGAGAAACTGAATGAGAGAGAGAGAGAGAGAGAGATGGACTGAATGATAGAGAAACTGAATGAGAGAGAGAGAGAGAGAGAGATGGACTGAATGATAGAAACTGAAATGAGAGAGAGAGAGAGAGAGATGGACTGAATGATAGAGAAACTGAATGAGAGAGAGAGAGAGATGGACTGAATGATAGAGAAACTGAATGAGAGAGAGAGAGAGAGATGGACTGAATGATAGAGAAACTGAATGAGAGAGAGAGAGAGAGATGGACTGAATGATAGAGAAACTGAATGAGAGAGAGAGAGATGGACTGAATGATAGAGAAACTGAATGAGAGAGAGAGAGATGGACTGAATGATAGAGAAACTGAATGAGAGAGAGAGAGAGAGAGATGGACTGAATGATGAAACTGAATGAGAGAAACTGAATGATAGAGAGAATGAGAGAGAGAGAGATGGACTGAATGATAGAGAAACTGAATGAGAGAGAGAGAGAGAGATAGAGAAACTGGACTGAATGATAGAGAAACTGAATGAGAGAGAGAGAGGAGATGGACTGAATGATAGAGAAACTGAATGAGAGAGAGAGAGAGATGGACTGAATGATAGAGAAACTGAATGAGAGAGAGAGAGAATGAGATAGAGAAACTGAATGAGAGAGAGAGATGGACTGAATGATAGAAACTGAATGAGAGAGAGAGAATGATAGAGAAACTGAATGAGAGAGAGAGAGATGGACTGAATGATAGAGAAACTGAATGAGAGAGAGAGAGAGAGAGAGAGATGGACTGAATGAGAGACAGAGAAATATCCATGCACATTTGCACATATGTAAAGAATCCATTTTGAATGATGAGGTTTCTAACAATCTTGACCTTTTTGAAGTTCAAGTAAAACTTTCCTCTTTTGCCTCAGATCAGATTCTAACCAAATTCTTTTTATTTATTGTACCACCAAAGATCACAATACTTGAAATTCAATTGGGCTACCTATTTTCTTTCTGTTTTTTTTTTGGTATTTGAAATTTCTTAATAAACTGTGAACCATTTTTTTCCCAAATGTTATGCAAACCTCCCCACAACCACACATTCCCCCACTTTCTTATGTCTTTGTGGTTCCTTGCAGTTTGTACTGAGAGACCTCTATTAATCAATAAAAAAAATCAGAGACTTCAATTTTATGAGGTCACTTTCTGCAATCAAACCAGTAAAGAAATGAATCACAAATAATGAACATCAATATGTCTTCTTGAGTCCCAAATACAAAGGTGGGAATTGGAATAATTGGGTGGGTTAGGAAAAATCAGGGTGGCGGTTGGAAGAAATTTTGATTTTGTTCCACAAAAGCGTAAATACTGAGAGAATATTTCAGAAGAGACATTATGAAATTGTCCAGGTTTGAACGACTTAAGAATGTTAATAAGCAAGTTATAGGGAGTGAAATAAAAATATCCTGGGGGAAAATATTTCCAAAAAATTGTCGGGGATGTCTATTTAGTACTTAAGAGTCACATTTATAAATCAGTTTGGATTATCTTGATTTGATGGTCACCCTCAAAGGAAACATGGCCGAATTACACTATTTCAATTCTGGCTATTTGCCATGTTTTTTCTCTTAGATTATAATTTTTCATGGTGTAAGTTATTATGCAGATAAGCTTTTATCCCGATTGAAAATAAGAACTGAAAAATAAAATTTATCTGGAAGTTGTACTTTTTCTGAACTATTGACTACAGATAATGAGTTTTTTTTTTCACTTGTGGGCTGTATTCTTTCAGGATGTGGTGAGTCATGGCTCTCCACATATTCCTGTTCCTTATAAATCCCAGAAATGTTTGATACTTTACTATCTCTTGTCATCCATATTCTGGCATTCATTTACACAAACTCATTAGGTAGGTTACTTGCTGTTTCCTCTCTTTCCTTCTTGGCTTCAATCCATCTTCTATCCCCATCTATGTGTGCCTTGGATATGATAATAACGGCATCTGATTGGGAGGTTTTGAGAAGCATGCAACCAACTCTTAATTGCTGTTGTTCTATTGAACAACCTGAACGGGGGGGTAGGGCCTGTTAGTGTCCCAACTATGGGTAAATAGTGACCCCCCCCCAAATTGGGGTCAAAACATTATGAAAATATAAAAATACATTTTTATAGGGAAAAAATTCCAGCAACAGATTTTAATAGTAAAAACATTGAAAAAAAATTAACAAAACTCTCAAGGAAATTAAATTTTGGCATTAAATGACCCATAAGGTGTTGATATGCTGTTAAACAATCAAGCTATGGGTTAAATAGTAAGACATGTATTTGGAACCAATCATTGTTAATGCAATGTTCCCTCGCAATAAAAATTATTTTTAAAATGCAAAAATATGTTTCAGCTTTAAATGGCACACAAACGATTGATAAGCCATAAAAATAAAATCAGTTAAAACTTCCTTGACTTCAATAAGTCCTGTGAGTGTTCATTTCTTTAAGTCCTCTTTTATCATGTAAGTTTTATAGCATATTAGATAATACTAAAGGTTTGTACAAACTGTGGGAAATTATCATCATCATCATGGAAGACCTAAATGCAAAAGTAGTAAAGGAACAATACAGTGGAATAGTTGGCAGCTATAAACATGAAAAATGGGGGCCTAGTGAATTATTAAATAATAACCAATGATTGATTTAAAGAACACCCAAGATGCTTATGGATATGAAAAAGCCCAGGAGAGAACACAAAAAACCAGACAGACAACTTAAAAATCAATAAAATATTCAGAAGTGTAAAACATGTTAAAACTTACACAAGAACCAACTGTAGGAGTGACCACCTTCTAGTCATATGTAAACTCAGATTAAAATTCTAGAACATGAAGGAAATCCAAATTACAAGATATAAACTCCATGATGACTCCATTTGCAAATAGCATTCTTTTGATATAATTGATCCTGACCTGGCATCTCAACTTCAGTCACTTTCTCACCATAATGATATGGCTTCCCTCTGTCTTTTCTACAAATATTTTCATGACAATTGTTCTGATGAGCTTTTCAACTTTATGTCCCAACTGCATGAACTCAAGCATGCTACTACACTGGCAAACTAGGTCTCACCATCTTACTGTTGAAGTAGCTAGATTGCAGAAATCTCTTTTACTCTAATAGTTTCTTCACTCATCTCTGGAACTATCTACCAGTTACTTGCTTCTCTGCCACCTACAATCTTCTAAAATTTAAATGTAACACCAACTGCCATTTTCTTTTTTCAGAAATCCTGTTATTTTTTTAATTTTCCTTTCTCCTATCTAAAGTCTTCTCATTCTCCTTCACACCCGGTAAACCTCATGGCATTATTGCCTTTCTTGGCATGAAATGATCAAAATAAATGTTAATAGTTATTAGTAAATATAAGATCTTAGAAGAGGTGAAGAATTCAAAGTGGAACACCTTAAGGAAAACGTTAGTGACGTTGGTAAACAAACTCATCAGAAGGAAAGAGAGATAAAAAGATGAATATTTAGATTGCATTTTGAGTTCTTAATTTTAGGCAAATGAATAGAAAAGTGGAAAACATTTTGTGTAACATGTTTCATCCAATAGAAGAGCTTCATATCAGACTAAAGAAATTTTTTTTTTCTCAATGGAATTATTTATGTGAAGAAACAGAAGATATAAAGATGCTAGTGTCAGTTATGATTATGTACTAAGAGAAAATGCTAAAGATGATCCTACACAATCCTGGGCATAATAATAAACTACATCTGGCAGCAAGGCATCTGATCGGGAAATTGGAAGTTTTGAGGACCACCTCTTAATTGCTGTTCTTCTTACATTCACCATGAGCCTGGGGTGGTAGTACCTGTTAAGGTCTCAGCTGTGGGTAAAGAATGAACCCCTAACCAAAACACTATGAAAGTAAAAAATACATTTTTTATAATAAAAATACCTGCAATACATTTTTATATAAAAAATTGACCAATAATAGATTTTTAAAGCAAAATTACCAACAATAAATTTTATAGCATTTTGTCTCTAGTTGAAGCCATAAAATTGTGTTCAGAATATTTTGATTTTGGTATTAAATAACCCATTGAGGTTGAGATGCCTCTAAACAAAATCTAAGAAAAAAAGAAGAAGCTTTCTATTGATTATTTTGAGCCTTTCTAAGTATTTTTTTGAAGCCATTTTGGGAAGCATTTAATAAAAATAGAAAATAATGAAGACCAAATTTCCAGCCAAGAATGAATCTGATTTGCAGGCATGAAAACTGGAAATTAAAACAATATACGAGACAAACAATGTCTAAATAATTAATGAATCTGATGAGTAAAGTGTCCTTTAAAAGCAGATAGAATGATTCTTGATACTGAAGCTTTTGGCAGCTGAGTTGTTAAAAACATGTCAGATCTCATGGTGGTTTCTCCTTCAAAGAGGGACACAGGTTCAAATACTCCTGGAGAATGCATTTTTCTTTAATAAGATTTGTTGAATATTCAGTCCTATTGATTTCAATCATACTGGGAATGACTGAAAAACACTTGCTCCTCCACTTTTACAAACAGAAACACATATGCATGCTGGGATTTGTTCCTTAGCTAGCTATGATGCAGTCCCAGTCTGTCTTGTCTTGAAGTCAGAATGGAATGTAAATTATATACAAGACTAACAATTTCTAGTTGAAGGTATAAAATTGAGTTCAAAATATGTCTAGATGAAGCCATAAAATTGTGTTCCAAATATTTAGATTTCGGCATTAAGTAACTCATAGCAGTTGATATGCTGCTAAACAAAATCAAATAACTAACCAACATGAAAGAATTCATTCATAGCATTAATCCATATAAATTATATATATATATATAAATATTATAAATCCTACAATCCTCTTGTTGTACAAGGTTTAGTCTGCCCCCTCACTGAACTTTTCTTTTTTTCTTTATAAGATTGTAAATTGAAGATATAACCTTGGAGATATGTGGCAGGAATTTTGCAACATAGTTCACGAAATCTTTAAACCTTTGGACTCCCTTTACATCTGTTGGACTAGGCATCTCCATAATAGCCTTTATCTTCTCTGACATCAGGGTATAACCCTTCACTTGTTATTATATGTTTTATGAAGGATAGAGAGGTTTGTTGCAGGTTCACTTTGTGATGGTTCAGATGTATTCTCCATTCCCCATTCCCCAGCACCTCTGTAAGAGCCTCTTGTGCTTTCTTTCACGATCAGTTGTTGGATTCTTCCATCATTTCTCTTCTTCCAAACACCAGAATATCATCGGTCTTGTTTAACACTTCATCCAGATCAATTGATTTTATCATAGACTGCCTTCTGAAAGATTTTGGGTGCTAAAGTAATTCCGCATAGTAGAACTTTCCACCTGTACTGGCCAAATGTATATATAGTCAAACAACTAATAAAATATATATATATATGTGTGTGTGTATATTGTTGTATATATATATATATATATATATATATATATATATGTGTGTATATATATATATATATATATATATATATATATATATATATATATATATATATATATATAGTTTGTATATATATATGTATATAGTTGTGTATATATATATATATATATATATGTGTGTGTGTGTATATAGTTGTGTATATATATATATATATATATGTGTGTATATATATATATTGTGTGTATATATATATATATATATATATATATATATATATATATGTGTGTGTATATAGTTGTGTATATATATATATATATATGTGTGTTTGTATAGTTGTGTGTGTGTGTATATATATATATGTATATGTATATATATATATATATGTATATATATATA